GGTGATCCCAAATCATATTGTAATTGTCAGGTAAAGTTAATTACATACATAATTATTTATACATATTATTCATATCACTGATCTCTAGTCAATTGGTACTTTGCGGATAATGTCCATTTTGCTGAAACCACTTTCAATGCCTACATTTTTATTTTGAATTTCTAGTATAAATGCATTTGTATATTGCATTTTCTACATGATCCATTCAATTCCTCCATTGAAACTGAGGAACTCACTGTTCTTTTTTTCACCAGGCCTAGGAAGAATTAATTAAATTTTCTTTCTGCTTAGAAAAAGGACTACATCTGAGAAATCTGCTCTACAATTTGGGTAGCAGTTACAGGGGTGTGCATGCCTTCTAACCTGCTACCTGTGAGACAAGAAACTTCTGCTGAATGCTATGACTCTCATGTACAGTTGCTTGTGCTGAACTGCAATATTCAACATTGGCATAGGGATCGTTGGTGTCAGGAGGACTAGCTGCAAACACGTGGACCCAGTTTTTCTCTACCTCCAGCATCTATTGCTCTATTGCCCATGGAGAAGAAGCAGCTTGAGGTTTTTCATGAACTCTCCAAAGTTTTCCAGGCAATTGCCTGATTCTTACTTTCCCTTGCACTAGAGAATCAGAAGAAAATAGATTTTCATCAGATTGGAAACAGTCCAGATAATAGGATTCATGTTCCACACATCACCAGTCTAAGTTGCCAAGATATGCAAGTTTCAGACTGCTGTGTGAAGTTGAAACTCATTACAAACATAGTTCAGTTTGGGCTCCCTTATTGCTGTTGAAACAACCTAAATGGATAGCAGTTTTCTCTTGTTTACCATTTAGCGATTGCCCCCAATCATAAGGAGATATCTAATCAGCTAATTGACCAGATTCAGACATATATCATGGAAATATTTCCAAATAAATTAGTACTTATCTTTTCTTCTAAGGTCTGAAGAGAAGAAAATTTTTGACCTTCTTCCCCTTACAGTAGAACTGAGTGTACTTCATCATCTATAAATGCTTCCTTATTTCCAACCTAACTCTCTCACTTTGTGGTTTCTGGTTTTTGGTTCTATTTTCTTTGAACCACACAAACCTTTATTTTTCAAAGACTAAAGAAATTCCACATTAAATTAATCATAGTGGTGACTTAGGTATAGAACTGTGCTTAAAAAATAATACCAGTGTCTTATAAGCAAATAATCTTTTGTTTAATATTCATCAAATATAACAAGTAAACACCTCAAAATGATTATTTTTGTATATCTAAATTCAGTTATAAATCTCAGAATAAAACATCTTTCCTGTTATTTGAATTAATGAATCAAACATTAAATATACTTACATATTTGTTTGTTTAGATTTTTTTTCTAAAAATAATTTTATGAGGCTAGAAATTGATTTAGGCTGTTGCTATTTAAAATTTAATACAAATAAAATCAGAAGTTATTGTAAGTGTGTGTCAAATAGATTACATAAAATTTAAGAAAGCAAATAATTCAGTACAATTTGAAAAAACACAACATAAAGAAAATAAAAGCTAATTCAACAAGCAAAATATTACAGATGGGGCCCTTGATTAGACACAGATGAAACAGCCAAACAGGCAAACATGAATAAAAAGGGTCATGAATAAATTAGATAATAAAGTAAATATTAGGATTCTCTTGGCATGTCTCAATTTTAAAGCATATTTATAAAATTATAAGAGACTACAGTTTAAGACATTTGCAATTTAGTGTTAAGCATTTTTTAGTGTATCATTTTGGTCAACCTTTAAGTCAGGGTGGCCATGGGTTGATACAAATTCAAAATGCCTGGCTTTAAATGATCACCTACAGAATGTGAAGTTCATGGAAATGAGCAGGATGCCATTCATTAGCATGTCAAATATGCTTCTTCAACAGGATGCCATTAAATTATTGTGGTGATAATTGAGACACTAAAAAGTGACAGATGCTGGATCTGTAGTTCCTAAGATCTTACAACCCATTAGCAATTAAATTTCAATGAGCTAACATAATTTCAGTCTCACTAAATTAACAACTGAGGATTTTTTTTTTTAAGTTGTATTTTTCGAGATCAGTTTTGGCCGAGTTTTAAAGCAAATCAAAACACTAGTATAGTAGTGGAATCAGGACACAGAGCACCCAGATATAGGGATGTGCCCTACTCTCAGGCAGGACTGGAAGTGGCAGTCCAATTATATCAGTGTTCTGATGGTCATTGCAGTTGGGAAAAACAAAAATTTATGGGCAGAAGGTCAGATTCTCAAGGGAAGACATATGAATGTTTTCTCTCTCTAGGTAAGGATGATAACCTCAGACACTCTGGGGATTAGTGATTCATGGGAGAACCAGAAGGCAACACAATTCCAATATGACTGGTCTACATTAGGATAGATGAGTCTATGCAGTGGTAACAAATTAATCCAAAAATATTACTAGTTTAATGCAGCAGTGCTGTATTTTTTGCTCTCCCTAAGCTTAATGGAGGAAAGGTAAATTAAAGCAGTTGTCCCCCATGCAGTGACTCAAATATCCAGGCATATTTGATCTCAACAATGTTATTATCTCAACATGTAGATTAAAGTCTCCAGAGCAGGGGAAGAGAAAGTAAAGTGGGAGCTTGCCATAAAGGTCCTTAATAGGCACAAAAAGAATCACACATTATTTCTGATATCCTAGAGCCTAGAAAGACCTACATGGCCCCTGCCTAACTACAAGAAAGCTAGAATATATGGAGGAGCACATGTGTATTTGTAAACAGTAGATATCTCTGACAGCAGATCTTATCTGAAACAGAGGAAGACTAGTACAAACACAGTAATATTGGTAAAAAATTGAAGATATAATCAGATACACAAAGTCAGATTTTCATGGGCTCAGAAAATCAAGTGGAAGGCTTAGGGACCACTGGGGCTAAACCATTTTTATGAAGAGAAAATGGTAGGGAATAAGAAACAGAATCCAAATTCAATAGTTTGCTAGGAGTTTGGAAAGGCAATAGAGTAGAGTAGAAAGAATGTGAACTCTAGAATTATGTAGGCATTAGGTTATATCCTAGTTCTACCATTTACTTACTAGAATGACTTGGAAGGTTACACAATATCTCTGAGGCTGAATTTCTTTTGGGTTATTACAAGCTGACTTGTGTCCCCTTAAAATTCATATGTTGAAGTCCTAACCCCCACTATTTTAAAATATGACTCCACTTGGAGACAGGGCCTTCAAAGAGATAATGAAGGTAAAATGAGTTCATAAGGATGGGCCCTAATCCAATATGACTGGTAGAAGAGAAGATTAGAAGACAGACACAAGTAGAGGTTAAACCATGGGAAGACATGGGAAGAAGCTAGCCATCTACAAGCCAAGAAGTGAGGCCATAATAAGAAACCAACTATGCTGACACCTCGATCTGGCCCCTCTAGCCTCCAGAACTGTTAAGAAATAAATTTCTTTTGTTTAAACTACCCAGTCTGTGGTATCTTGTAATGGCAACTCTAGCAAACTAATGCATGTGTCAAAATGTAACAGCACCAATACTTTTCCAATATATTTACCTTTCTGTGAAAGCAGGGATATGTTGCACAATGTTATAATCAAGCTAATCATTTTTTTGTATTTTTTCAGACATTGCTCTTTAAAGATGGCAATGTTACATCATTTCTTACTGAATGTGTAGTTTTTCATATATGGCTTGGGCATTTATAGGTGTTCTGATAAGGTCTGGAAAGAGAAAGGAGGGAAGGAAGGAAGAAAGGAAGGAAGAAAGGAAGGAAGGAAGGAAGGAAGGAAAGAGTGAAGGATGGATGGACGGAAGGAATTCATCATACCCAGAAAAATTTATTAACAGGGATTCAGAGAAAATAAGTAACGAGGATTAAAACTCAGTCAGAGTCTTGGCAGAAAATTTAAGACATCAACCAAAATAGCTATGAATACTAAGCCATCTTGACTAAAGCAAAGGTTCCTAATATGCTTCATGCTAAGAGCCAGAATCAGGGTCAAGGCAGTAGACAGTCATTATATCTGTCTACAGTAGAGGTATGCAGGTATGGGAATCCAGACAAGTACTGTCTGTCAACACCAAAAAAAAAACATTTACTTTACTGTCTAATGACCTTGTACAATAATAACCTCATTACGAAATTTCATGATGACAGTGCACTTAGGATCTTAGATGATGGATTTCAATGTAACGGGAGTCTCTTCTCTCAGGATATCTGAGGCATAAATAATGATTCAATACAGCCAATATTTACTCAGCACCTTCCTGTACAAGGCACTCTGCTCAGATACAAAGGCAATAGAAAGGTGACTAAAATCCAGTTCTGGTCCCCAGAGCTTGCAAAACTGTGCTATTTTGGAAATGATTCCTATTTTCTCATCCAAATAAGCAAAATATCAGCAAATACACACCTGTGTTTGGATAGTTCCATAAAAATAAATAGCAGCACAGCCAGGGTGGAAAATAACAATTACATCTCAAATAATCTCCCTGAAGCCTAAAATAATTTATTTGCATTTTCAGAGAAGGAAATTGAAGTTAAAATGCACACAGGCACTTAGGAAATGTCTATTGACTGGAGGGGAATCAATTCTTGTTACAACCTACAGCAAATACCTTCAGGTTAGCTAGTACAGGTGGGTCAACAATGCAGCCTCTGGTGGAAAAAAACCCTGAAAACTTTGTTCTAGATTTTCGACATGCCTAAAGTCAGATTATAACTTAAGGATCTGTGACTTTTTTTTTATAAAAGTTATTAATTATGTAAATATGTAATTCTAAACCTTCCTGAGAGAACCTTCAAAATATTTGAAAATATGCTGCTTCAACATATTTGAAATGCCTTATCTGTCGTTTCTCCTTATTGTATATTTCCATTGTTAGTGCACCTGTTTGTGTGGGCATGGTGGGGTCAGCATAAAATTGTGAGGCAGTAATCTAATATTGTTTCTCACCGTAAAATTACTTACATTCTTATGCTTATCCCTGGTTCTAGACTGCAAGGGAGCAGGATCTCTTCCAGATATCCGAGAGCATGTGGACATGTGACTTTGAGCCAGCAGTCCTAGAGAAGCTCTACAGTCACAATCAAGAGGGCACAGGATGAACTGTGCCAGCTGACGAAGGAAGGCAAGGGAAACAATGAGGACATCTATGCAGAAATCTAGAAATTAAAACCTACTTTGGGCTTGAGCTGACTGCTACTAGAGTTGAGATGAGAATAATAATAGTAGTGAGCACATATGTAAGTGTCTACCATGTGCCAGGTACTATGTAACATAATTTACAAAAGCTACCTACAGTACCCCCAGATTCTGCATGGAATTCATGTTATCATGCCCTTCTTATATTGTTAAACTGAATCTCAAAATAAATTCTGAAAGCTCACAAAGCCAGGAAGTGAAAACCACAGAATTTGTATTGAGGTTGGTGTGATTCTTAACCTTCTACAGCATTCCATTCCCAAAACAAGAACAAAACAACAAACAATAGTGAAGTGGCCATTCTCAGCCTCAGTTGTTATAGCACATCATTGTGTCACAATTAATTCTGATATTCATCTCAAACAGCGGTGTGCTAATACATGTTTTAAAATGTCCTCATTTACGTCATTTGTTTATTTCTGTTGTGCAGCTACTCCTCCTATGATCAATTTTGGGCTACTCATGTAAAGCTTCTGAAGGTGCAGTTGGGAAGAGACGTTTACAACTGGCTCTGGTGAGTTGTACAGGTCAGTTTCAGCATACTCCAAAAACCACTAGTTTTTGAAGCTGCAGCATTGAAGTTTGAAGAATGGTTTCCACTTTTATGTTCATTAGAGTAGATTCAGGATTATCTCTAAAATATCAGCACAATTATTTCACTTGCAATTGACATATTTCCTTCACTAGAAGCATCTGTTATATATGCAAGTATCATTTTAAACTGTGCTTGTATATAAAATATGCATGTGTATAATGTACCCATATATGTGTGTATAATATAAAACAAAAATCCCCAAACTGCACTTAATTCTGTAAATCACCAAAAGTGGGCATTCTTATGAAACAGATTGTTGAAACCTTCATGTTTTCATATGCTGGTCAGTAACACTGCATTTGAATTAACTGGGGTTTTGTTGAAACATAGGGTTGGTGAAACATAGGGTTGACAGGAAAATTATCTGAAATTGAGAACATGAGAATGCAGTAAAACAGCATTATGCAAGTGTCCAGGAGACAAATGAGGTTTTATCAGCCTACTGCCCATTATCAAGAGCTGCACCAGACAACTATCGGTTTAGTCACAAAAGAACTTGGCTTAGTATGAACTTAGTGACCTCAAGAGCCAGTTTCCTGTAAGAGGGTAGACCACCCTGTTCTAAGAGACTCAGCACATATCCAGCTCTGCTGTAAAGCTATCTCAAGACAATGCTTCTCAGACACTTGCAAGCTCACAAAAGAACTGTGGATATCTACAATTATGATGGGAAAGGATTCTCACACTTATATTAACATAACTAGGGTTTGAATGAAGCCCGTTAGAGTACCCTGAAGTGGAACAATGAAGACATATATATTCCAGTTACACACATAGATGTAAATAGATATTAACATGAAAATAAAAATCATCCATGAAAAATGGAATTTGAAGATGCTGGATTAAGTCATCAAAATGAATTACTAAAGAACTTATCAGATCATTTATTATTATAATAAGCTCTGAATCTCCAAAAATAGCATAGGATATGTGGTATTCCTGGAACATATTTCACCAGATATTTTGTGTGTATGTGCAGCTAAGATTAATTTTTGGTGGTTTGGAATATGCTGAAATAAGGACATCTCCAAGTACTTAATTTTCATTATCATTAAGTGGAGAAGCTAAGGGTTTGGTACACCATGTTGATCTACCTTCTAACAGGGGAGAAATATCCTTCTTTATCCATTTCTGTATATCCTATCACACAATGTAGCAGAATTAAAACTTCTTTTTATTAGTTATTTTGTATGTGTTTTGATGTATTTTAACAAGATTGGCAATTGTTTTAGGGTCACCTACTAAGTGTTTTAAACTTTGTAGGCTACATTTCATCTTTGCTGCATCTATCTATCTATCTAGCTAGCTAGCTACATACAGCTTTCTATCACATAGCATCTATCTACTTCTTTTATAGCTCTTTAAATATGTCAAAAATATTTTTAGCTCATTGATTATACAAAAACAGCCTTCAGGCCACAGTTGACCCACAAGCCATAATTTTTTGATCCCTGATCTAGGGTGACAGTTTCAAAGCACACTGAATAATTCAACATCAAACCAAAGTACAAGATTTAAGTGTTCTCAAAGAGGTTTTTCCCTCCTACTCACCAAAGATTTTCTGACAGAAGAATATTACTATCTCTAATGGCAAACATATTTTTTCTGTGCTTCTTAGAGTACATGGCACCTTGTGATGGCCAGTTTCCAAAATAGGCCCAATGATTCTCTGCCTTCACGTATTCATAGCTTTGGGCTACTTACTACCATTGTAACAACACTGTTTCAAGTATGGAAGAAATTTGTGACACTCAAAGCTAGATTATAAATGACTAAAAGATGTGGTGTCTGCCTTGCTTTTACCCTATTGCTTGGATCACATGTTCGGAGCAGACAGCCACCATATTGTGAGACACTCAAGTGGTACTATGGAGAGGTCCTCATAATAAGAAACAAAGACCTTCTGCCTGTATCAAGCAAGGAACTGAGGCCTTCTGCTAACAGCCATCTGAGTAAGTCATTTTGGAGAGGAATCCTCCAGCCTCAATCAAGCCTTCAGATGATCACTTTCCAGAAGACAGCTTGATTGCCAGAACTACTTAGCTAAAGCATTTGCAAATTCTGTACCCACAGAAACTGTGAGAAAATAAGTATTTATTGTGTCTAAGATGTTAAGTTTTGGGGTAATTCATTACATAGTGACAAATAACTGACACAATCTTTTAACTAACAATTTTTACATAGTCAGCTTGATGTCAATAACATTTTGCAATCTACTGTTTCTCATAGGCATTTTTATGTAGGTGTATTTTGACAAGTCTGTTTTGCTTCACATTTTAAAAAGCAACCAAATAACACATGAACTATACAATTCAAACACTTCTATTGCCAGTTCTTATCTTAATGGTCAGGATGGATAAGATAAGGGATAGGCTGATGACTAGATTTCATGTGAGGCTCAGGAATAAGTTGAGAGTAGAGTGAGGCTTAGGGATGGACAAGCGATGGGATATAGGTCAGAGATTGATAAGAAACAGGGATAAGTCTATGTACATTTTCTAATAATTTTTAAGAATGTGAGAACAATCTGGCTATGGCATCTGTCACCTCATCGATCACTGGAGCTGATATGGCTGATCTAGCTGGCTAAGCAGGTATCCCTTTCCTTCCTCACTGCTTGATTTGTGTCCCTGCTGAAGCCTCAGACTCAATCAAAAAGGACAACCTTTCCCAGTAGTGCAGGACAGCTCTTTGGCTAAGGGAGTAGGAGTTGTCTGTGCTCCCCTGCTACAACCTCCAAACATGTTATCAAGGTTTATTTGTAATAGAACATAAGGTAGTCAGGCTTCTAAGACTTTAGACATGTCTAAATGAGGTATTGCAGATAGCAATCTGCCTTTCTAAAATAAATAAATAATGATAAATGACCTTTATTTTTGGCCAAACCCACCTTGATTTATTCTGCTTTATTTCTAAAAATGCAAATTATTACTCAAGTTGTACATATGGAGGTTAAGAATTTAAGACAGGTCTATTAAAATTAGTTGGATAATTTTCTTTATATTCTTACCGACTCAATATTTTCTCCCCACAGTCACTGATCTGCACATTTCTAAACATTAATCATTTGAATATATTTTATCAAATGAACCAAATACAATGGCATATTTTTTTTTGTTTTCAATCTTTGTATACTTCCCAGTGCTCAACGCAAAATAAGCTGCATAGTATGAAGCAAAACAGAGCAGACCAGAGTAAAAATTATACAGGAATGCAAGTGTATATGTATTATACACATATACAATCTCAGTTAGTGGCTCAGGAAGATCATTTTGATCCTTTTGAGTCCCAGTGACCTCATTGGAAAATGAGAGTAATGCTACTTTCTCAGCGGGTTATTTTGAGATTCAAATGGAATGATAAATGTGAAAAAGATTGGGCAATTCTGTTATTGAAACAAAGCACCAAAAATATGCACTGAGTTAAATTATTCAAATGCTTTAAGGACTCTGAATTTTCTCTTCTAAAACTATGAGTCAAGTTTCTTTAAATGTATCTGTTAACAGCTGTTTCCTTATTAAAAGCAAAAGTCTGGTCTGCATTTGAGAAAACTAAAACTTATGGAAATTCTGATATATCAATATTAGCATAAATATATAAAGAGTAAAATCCAACATTTTACGTATGATTTGTTTTTTTTTAGCTTCAGGAAACTAGTACACATCACCACCTATAGTTAAAATGCATGCCTAAAATTTAAAATTCTGTTACAGTCTCTTCAAGTATGTCATGTTAAATATACTATCTTTCAATCATATGGTGAGATGTTTGAGATGTTATTTTCTTTCATTCCAATTCAGTTATCTTGCTCCAAATTCTTTTTTGTTTCAATTTCTTAAACTATGAAATCAGGACTTGCTGCTCAGTAATGGATTTGTTATTTTCTGGCACAGTAGTAGCTAAACTAAATCACTGACAGTCTATCAGTCTAAAGGAAATCCACCTCCAGCACTTCCACAGGGTGTCAGGATGTTATTAATTTAGAAAATATACAGATTCTTATACATAACTCCAAGTGCTTTGACTCCAATGAGAGCAAGAGAGAGCCTTTGTTATTGAAAAGAAATTTGATCTTGCAGTAAAATTTAGCCAGAAGCTTCATTCTCAGATTAGACAGACAAAGGATTCACACAATTGAATAGATTTTGTATTCAATATGTGCATAAAAGAACTATTCACGTTTTCAAATAGAGTTGAAAATTTTACATGTTTTCTGATTAAAGTAACAAATATTTATTGTGTTCATTCTATGTACCAATCTTTTTCTATGTGACATGAGAGTCTAGAGATTATTCTCAACTTCTTGGA